CCTCTACTTTGACACCATGCATGCCGGATACCCGCTCGTCCACAACTCCCCGCACCTCAAGGTGTGTGTGTGTGTGTGTGTGTGTGTGTGTGTGTCTGTCTGTCTGTGTGTGTGTCTGTGTCTGTGTGTGTGTCTGTGTGTGTGTCTGTGTGTGTGTGCGTGTCTGTGTGTGTGTGTCTGTGTGTGTGCGTTGCCTTGAGTGCATATTTCTCCGATTCTCCCTTTGATCAAAGTTGTTCATTGCGACACGACCACGCGACGCGCCTCTCTTTATGCCCACCCCGCCTTGACCCACAAAACGCACACATTGTGTACAACGCACACACGGCGCGTGCAGGGGTGCGGGTACTTTTATCCACACGACGACGCTGTTGAGGGTGAACGACAGCTTCGCCGAGCTATTCTTGAGTTTGACGGGGATATGAAGGCCATGCAGGCAACGTACGCGGACTGCATTTGGCGCCACTCCACGCGCAACATCGCCAACATGCGGCAGTGGGAGGATCGCATGTACGCGTTGATCAACAGCCGACGACCGCCAGAACGCGAGAGAGAACTCAACGAGTGGCGCATGAAGATGGTTGCAGAAGCGCGGCAGCAGCAGCAACAGCAGCAACAGCAGCAACACCAGGAAAACGCACACGCAAGCGGCCAAACAGCTCAGGCCACGGCGTCTACAGCCCCCTCTAGTCCACAGCGGGGCGATGGCGCGGACGGCGCTGCTGCCTCGAACAACATGCCGCCCTCACATTCGCCACCACCACCACCACCACCACCACCACCTTCTCGTCCCCACACTGGCGATGTGGATGTGGCTGTGCCTTCCATGGCTGCTGATCGCGCTGGAGAGGAAGAGGAGCCCATGTTGGCCATGCCACGCGAGGCGCCGCACATACGCACCCGCCCTCACGGTGGTGATGCTGGTGATGCTGATGCTGATGCTTGGCGTAATGGTGATGGTGGCGGTGCGTTTGTGATGCGGCCTGTGTCGTCAGTGCTGTCTGCGCCGACCAACTTTGGAGGCGGCAGCAGCGGTGGTAATGGGCGCGTGGCTGCACCCGATGCAATCGTGTCGACATCTGGTGGTGATGGACACGCGACGCGTGTTGGCAGTGGCAGCGGCGGCAACGGAAGACTGGCGGGCGAAGCGAGGGCGCGTGCGACAGCAGAGGTGATGGGCGAGGCCTTGGATGATGCTGGCGCCCACGGTGACAACGCGAGTGCGGGTGATGGTGGTGGTGGTGGTGGTGGGCAGAAGGAGTATGCACAACAACAACAACAACAACAACAACAACAACAACAACAACAACAACAACAACAACAACAACAACAACAACAACAACAACAACAACAACAACAACACACGGTGCATGAGAGCCACAGGGACATGTGGACAACGCCCACAAATGAGCATCCATCCTCGTCACCACCAAACCACCATGGCCACCAACGACAACAGCAGCAACCTCAGCAGCCGCAGCAAGGTTCCGAGGACGTTTCGCGGGAGGTGTGTGTGCCTGGTTCACCCACGTGCAGCCCGTTGAAACCTGTGCCAGCGCACCCGCACCAGGACGTTCAGGAATATAGACAAGACATGCAGCGAAGGGCAGCCATGCTTGCAGACTAGAGTGTGTAGATGCATATGCGAGTGTGTGTGTGTGTGTGTGTGTGTGTGTGTGTGCACATGCGCTAACGTGAGGCTGTGTTTGTGACATGATGTGTATCCCTCTTTCACACGTGGGGAATGAGACGCAGTCAAGGTGCCTTGTTTCGGCTTTTCCCTCTTTGCTGTGCTGTTACACTTCTTGGCATGTTGCCCCGCTCATGACTGTGTGTCACTCTTCTTCTTCTGATGATGGCGATTGAATGAATGTAATGTTCAAGCAAACGAACGAACGAACGAACGAATGGGATGGGTGCGAAATGAATTCACATCAGAAGGTAGGCACAGGCAAACAATACAACCACAGACACATATCGCAGTGCATCCAGACAAAAGCGTAACATCGTTGAGCAAACAGACGAGCAAGAAAGGAAGAAAGAGACATGGATGGTGCAATACATCAGCGGCGCTTAGGCGGGGCAGTCAACGGAGATGGTGAGCTGGTAATCGCCAAACTGCTCCTCTTGGTTGCTGTCCAAAGCCGCGTAGAAGTAGGTCGCGTTGACACCGTTCTGGATAAACACGTACTCGGTGTCCGTGCTGCCGTCAGAGCCATCAGCAGGATATCCAATGGAGTCATACACTGCAACCCCAATGTCAACTTCGGCATGGGTAAAGTAGGCGTTGATGGTCGCGTTGCCGCCGCCGCACACGTCAAACTTGTACCAATCGGCATCGCCTGGGCAGATGGTGGCGTTGAGGTTGACGGGTGCAGTGACTGTGGTGGCACCAGGGCCTTCCGGGTTGTCGTTGGGCTCGTAGCCGTCGTTCGTGCAGTCGGCTGTGGTGGTGATCGTGATCGTGGTCGTGGGCGTGGTTGTCGCAGTGACGTTGCAATCCATATCCGCCGTTGACAGCGCACAGGAGCGGCTGTTGGGAACGACATTGGAAATGCAATTGGCATCCCTCGTGGTTAGTGGGGACGCAAGAAATGGGATATTCAAACGCGACTGTTGACTGGTTGGGGCAAACGCGGAGCGGGAGCACACGCAAGCACGCAGGAGTGGGAACAATAATCCTCCGTGATAGACGCACAAGCGCAGAAACACATCAGACAAGTTGCATTGAGCATTGCGCTTCGACCCGATCAGGGCGTTTCGACTCACTAGCAAGCGAGGATGACCTTGACGTCGGTGTAGTTGTCACTGGGCATGACCTGCTCGCAGTCTGCGAGGCAGATGCCAAAGTCAACCAGGCCAGAGGTGCTGTGGTGCTCGTAGGACGCAACGCACTCAGAGAACGTGTCGCGCACGTTGTTCTCAAACATGGCCTGGTTTGTGTGGTGAAGTGAGGGGGAGGGGGTTTATTTATGAGTGTTGAGTGTGTGAGAGTGTGTGTGTGTGTGAGTGAGAGAGTGAGTGAGTGTGTGTGCATGTGTGTGTGTAAGTGCGAGTGCAGTGCGAGCATGCGTGCGTGAATGCCATACACGAACAAAATGTGCACACAACTGGGGTGTGCACTGTGCAGCCAGCACAGGCCACACACCACACCACGCACCCAACCATTCACGTGCTGTGACTTACCGCGCCAAGGCAGCTGTAGACGTTGTCATCGCACGTGTAGTCACAAGGAGGAAGGGTAGTTGTAGTCGTGGAGGTTGTTGTCGTTGTCGTTGTTGTCGTTGTTGTGGTGGTGGTCGTGGTGGTTGTTGTCGTCGTCGTCGTTGTCGTCGTCGTCGTTGTGGTTGTAGTTGTGGTGGTGGTTGGTGCGTCCACCTCACGCACATCCACGACGGTGCAGCGGTTGAAGCGGAAGGTTGTGGACTGCGCGCACACAAGCAGGTCGTCGACATGTGCGCTGTTGAGGGCGCTGGTGCGGAACGATGTGGCGTTGATCACGTCAATCGTGGCAGATGTGTCGCCCTTGTACCGGCACAGCTGCATGCGTGGGTGTTGGAAACAGGTGAGCGAAAGCTGACGTGCAGTTGAATGGGTTGGATTGGTCTGTCGGTGCATGCAGTGTAGCGTGTCTGCATGCAAGCATCCAACCACACGTACATGCACTAAACGCACTCAACACACACACACACATGTGCGCACACATACCCTGGAGATTTCGCAGTCGTCCTCGAGGGCCTGCTTCCAGCGCATGGCAAAGAAGTCGAGCTCCTCCTCATTGCGCTCTGTCAGCGGATCGCCACGCGAGCAGTCAAGTTCAACCTGATGGAAGGCAACGTGATGTGGCCCGGGGGGGGTAGATACGGGCACACGCGGCGAGGAAACATAAAGAAACTAATCAACAATGGCTCAATGGGCTGTGCTTGCAGGCAAACAAGGTGCCGTGGAGACAATAACAGAGTCATGTGGACAATACGACGGTGTCATATCACGCCCCTATGCACGCACGCACGCGCACACACATAATACACACGCACGCACGCACGCACGCACACACACACACATAATACACACAATGCGCGGAACGCACAGCAAAGTAGGTGTCAAATGTGGCCTGGGTGCAGTTTGCGACAGCAAAGCAGCCTTCAGTCTCTGTATCGTTGCAGCGGAAGATCTTCTGGCAGTCTGGCAGGCGTTGTAAGATGGAAAGATGCACATGCGCAATGAAGGGCGTGAGTTGGCGAGGACAGGGTGGTTTTGTGGTGAGTGGAAAAAGGGGGAAGACAGAGACGGAAGATATCCACACGCACACGAGTACACACACCCACACCCACACACACACGCACTGGTCAACGTACTTCCGTTGTCGCATTCGTTGAAGTTGGTACACATGCACTCGCCACCTGCAAAAAGTAAACACACACGCGGGTGGGTGGGGTTGGATGTAACATGGGTGGGGCAGTGTGTTGGTGAGGATAGTGATGATGGTTGTGATGATCGCGATGAAAGGGGTACAACCACAAGACCTACAAGACCACACCCAGATGGCTAGCCAGCAGGCTAGGCGCCGGCTCGCCAACTGCACAACTGAACTGGGCGTGCCCCCTGACACACCATCCAAGCCAGCTACCAGGCAACGGCTTTCGTGTTTCTCGCTCAGCCTATCACGCAACCCAACCAACAGCATGACTCCCACCTCGCTCTTCTGTGCGCTCTTCTGTGCTCTGGCTTCAACCAACGCACCAACTTCGCAGCGGGCCTGGAGCACGCCAGTCTCGTGGCCGCCTTGGAAGTAGTAGCCCTCCGAGGACGCAGTCAGGTTGGCGCAGCCATCCAGGTTCTGTCGTGTGCGCAAGGCAATTCAACGGCAGGATGGCATAGGCAAGCGTGCTGGTGTGAGTGATAAGGTGGATTCAGCCTTTGGATCAGGTGGTGTGTGTAGGAGGGATAAGGAGAGGTGCTTTGTGGAGGGAGTCTTTGATGGAATGCGATCAGATGAACCACAACCACATAAATACGCACAACACAGCACAACCAGAAGAGACACGAAGCCTCGAAGAGTGCTGCCTCACGAACCGCTTCGGCGAGGAACTCGGAGAGGGTGAGCTCATCTCCCAGGTTGATGCCCTGCGTGTGGCAGTAATCGGAAGGGAAGCAGACACAGAGAGGGGGGGGGGGGAGTGAGGGGAATGAGCAAGTGCGTACGGAAGGAGGACAGGCAGGGACAGGGTAAAGGTACAAGCAACACACACACACACACACACACACACACCAACCAACCAGTACCAAACTCCTCCCAACCTCAGACTCATATCCATCAGCAACGCCACCCAGGAGAAACGGACGTCGTTGACGATGGCTTGGGACGAGGCGGCAAACGCAACGAGGAGCACCGCAGCAACACTAAGCGTGGTGTGGAGGCAGTGGTTGGAGGCGCTCATGGCACTCGATATCCGCGCGGGGGGGGGGTGTTCAAGCTGTCAAGAGGTGTGGACGTGTGTGTGTGTGTGTTTCGTTGTCAGCTATGCTCTTATACTTGTCGGCTGGCCTAGTGGCTGGCAGGAGAACAAGAAAATAAAGGTCGGACAAACGAACGAGAAGACACAAGACAAACACTGTTGAGGAGATAAGGAAGCTGGGGTGTCGGAGAAGCGAACTAAGCAAGCGAACCAAGCAAGCGAGGGAGCAGGCCCCAATGCCAATGACGAGGGCTCGGAGAAGAAGAGGCGACGTTGCTGCATCGCTGCGTTCACGTGGCATTCTTTCTCTCCGCACCCTCTGACCCACTGCCTGCCCGCCTATCGCGGGTGGGGACGTCTCTGCCTGTCACTGTTGCCCCCTAACGGCTCCGGATACGAAATCGCTGGGGAATTCGAGTAATTTGCCTAGGCCAACTGGGACATAACACCCGAAACGCGCGGCGCCTTTCATGAGTTACACATGGACAGGGTTGGTCAGAACCAAAAGTGTGTGCAAGTACCAGGTGAAAAGCCTGCGGTCATGGTTTCAAGGGCGGTAGCGTAGGTCACTTTCCTCCAGTTTTGGAGCTTGCAACGATGCATGCCATGCATGTTTGAGACACGCGCGCACGCGCACTTTTCATTCGACAAGTGTACATTTCTCACGTCATGTCACATCATCACACACATCACATCACTCGGGAAGCAGAGTGGCACGCAGGACATCGTCATCAGTGGCGAGAGGTGGTGGTGGTTCCTGTCGTTGTTGTGATGACGATGAACGTGATGAGTGTGCCTGTCTTGCCCTGTGGTCCTGTCGTTCTGGTGCATGGCGATGCCTGGCTTTTGTGTGGTGTCGCTTCTGTTTGTTTCTGCTTCTTGTTGTTTCGCTTGTCTTCTCGCCAACATCAGCAGGCACCTCAGGTCCATCATCATCACCACCACCACCACCACCATCGTCGTCGTCGTCGTCATCAGCGTCAACGCCTCGTGTCTGCTTGTGTTCCTTATTGCTTCGCACACGCGCGTGCTTGTGCTTGTAGTTCAGACTGGTGATCCGCCACACGCAACACAAGCATAAGGGGGGGGGGGGTGAGGGCGGTGGGAGATGGTTTGGGAACGAGGGCATGTGCAAGAGCCACATTTCCACACGAACGCAAGCACACAGATAAACAGACACACACACACTACACACACACCACACTACACACACATAGGCACACACACCACACTACACACACACGTGCGTGCGTACCGTTTTGAGCACCGTGGGCAGAGGCGGACCTTGACGAGGTCGCGGCGCGTGCGGCCGTGCTCCGTGTACTTGAACTGCACCTGCCACGTGCGCAGCCCCTCCCGCCGATCGCAACGCACGCTGCCGCACTCAAACTGGCCTGTGTGTATGTTTGTGATGGTGTGTTGGGTGTGTTTGTGTGTGTGATTGTGTACATGTGTGTGCGCACGCGCGCGGGTGAGAAAATTGATAGACAGAGGTGCTACAAACAAGCAACCCAAACAAACAAGGCATACGCAAACAAACAAAGGCACACGCAAGCATCATGAGCACACCTTTGCCTGCAAACACTTCGTCCTCTGTTCTCCACCGCATTCCAATCTGTCCCGTCTTGTATCTCGCCAGGTCAACCAAGCAGTATTCCTGACCAAGGGGCGCGTAAGTGTGTATGAATGTATGTGTGTGTATGTGTGCATGTATGTGCGTGTGTTGGGGGGGGGGGTGGCGTTTGCAGATGTTAGCATCGTTGTACTATGTGCACGGGCATCGGTACATCGGCAAATGTACAACAACAACAACAACAGCAGCAACAACACCAACAACAACCACAAGAGTCGTTGTAGTAGCAGCAACAACAACAACTTAAACAACAACAAACAGCAGCAGCAGCAACAACAACAACAACAACAACAACAACAACAACAACAACAACAACAACAGCAGCAGCAGCAGCAGCAGCAGCAGCAGCAGCACCACCACCACCACCTTGAAGAGCTTGTCGTGATATCGCTTTGCCAGCTGCTTCTCCCAGTCCATTTCCTCTGTGTCCCTGATACCACCAGTGAATGTACATGTGAGCGTGGGCCAGAAGAATCGAGAGGGGCGGTGCAAATACAGCGTAAGCCGCTTCTTCACCGTAATTCAACTCGTTGAAACCAATCACACAGAGGGAGAGGGACAGAGGGAGAGGGAGAGGGAGAGAGCGGGGAGGGACAAGGAGACATACACACACAGAGAAACACATACACACACAGATACAAACAGACACACAGGCACACACATACACACACAGATACAAACAGACACACAGGCACACAGGCACACACAGACAGCCACAAAGAGGGCCCTCACTTGTCATCCCAGACGAAGCGGTGCTGCTCAGCGATGACATCGTAGTCGTTTCGAACTTGCGGCTGCAGACGATGATCAACGTGCACGCGCAGGGGTTGAGGGTCGTGCACTCAAAGCAGCATTGAGCAGAGCAGGACAGGCAGCAAGATGTGCGAGACAACACAACTGTCGTCTGAATACATGCCATTTCAACATGCACATACACACACATACACACACATTACCGTGCAAACACACACACACACACACACACACACACACACACACACACACACACACACACACACACACGGCCGTACAAACGCTCACCCGCTGGGATTCGAGGAAGGCCTGGCCATCACCATACCACATGACATAGTCTCTGATGAACCGTTGGTGTCGCTCGTGCGCGGTCATGCCAAGGATGTTGTTGCGCATGTGCAACAGGCGCTGCTGCCGGTCAAACGCCTCCCGAAAGTCATCCCGAGTCGGCAGGTGCTGAGAAAGCGTTGGTGGCGACAATGGCAGTTGCAGCGTCACACGAGGAGGACGGGAAGAATGAGGGAAAGCGAGGAACGTCAGACAAGCCCATGTGTCCAGCATGGGAACGGGCAGCACAGAGGGAGAGCAAGGCTGTGAAGCATTCCCGTCGTCATCGCATACCGGTGCTTGCCGCAGCGATGGCACGTTGGCGGCGGATTGGCTAACGTTGTCTTTCAATTGGCTTTCAGCCTTTGGTCGCTTGGGCGGCTCTTCATCATAGTCTGTGGGAATGCGTGGCGAGCACAGCCAAACACCGGTCAACAAGGCGCAGAGACACAAACAGGCGCGGGGACATCGAGACTGACTGAGAAAAAGAAAAACACAGAGACGGAGACGGAGACAGAGATAGAGATAGAGACAGAGGTAGAGACAGGGTCAGGGTCAAAGGCAGAGGCAGGGACACAAATACAGACACAGGCAGGCAGACAGACACAGACACAGACACAGACACACGCACATCAGGCACCTTTCTCTGTTGGAGGCAGCGTCTGGGAGAAGTCCAAAGCCATTGCGTCTTGTTGTCTTGTGTTGATTGTTGGCGATTTGTGAATGCTGTTGCCAACTTTCTATCTGACGCAGACCTTGCTCGTCTGCGCTGGCGCACCAGTGTTCACACCGCCGCACACACACACACACACACACACACACACACACACACACACACACACACACACACACACACACACACACACACACACACACACACACACACACACACACACACCACACACTCACACGTGCAGGATTTCCATTGATTCACACGCTGTTCCCCCTTTGGTGCTGCAGGTGGAAGTGCTGGTTGGAAGGCAGTATGGGGCAGAGCTCGCTGTGCAGGTGGACGTGGAGGTGAAGCAGGCTGGGCAAGGATACGGGGGCAGCCTGCTTACGCACAGGCAGACGCTATACTGGGATCACATGGACGCTGCTCCGAAGCGCGTGTACGTCGACATGGCTGCCATATCCTCCACGTGCTCGCGCGGGGTGGAGCGGGAGTGCCACGTGGACGTGGTGCTGGTGCGCCCGCGCCGCTGCCGAGTGGGCGCATATGGGCTCACGCACCTCGCCGTGCAAGTGCAGAGCAAGAAGAAGCCTGTCTCCGTGGTGCAGCCTGTGCACTCGTCATATGTCGTGTCTGAGAACCACAAGTATGTGGACGTGGAGGTGACGCGCACACGCCACAGCACATCGCCGCCAAGCAGCGTGGATGTGGCGTTTGTGTCCAGCACGGGCTCACCGTTCATCGACTTTCACTTCCAGGAGGAGCGCACGCTGACGTGGCAGCCGGATGGCAACGCCACCCAGACGTTTCGCGTGTACGTGCGCCCCAACCACGAGCACGTGCCAAACGACACGGTGTACCTGACGTTTGTCAACCCAGAGCACATGCAGCTGCCTGCCCAGGCGCCTATGGTGGAGGTCGTCATTCTAAACGCCAACGACAGCGAAAGCGTGGCTGAGCGCAACATGACGCAATCTGCGGCGTTTCGCCAGCGCATCATGCCGTGGCTGTCGGAGGTGAAGGACATGCACGCAGCGCAGCGGCTGCTGGAGGCGTGGAACGCCTATCCTGTCGAGGAAGGAGAGGTGGTGATTGCACGTGGGCGTGTGCCGCGTTTTCTGGCCATTGTGGCGGAGGGCACGTTTTCGATCGAGGCGCCCATCTTTGGGCAGCAGCGCACTCGAAAGGCGCGCAAGGGGGATTTGGTTTCCTTCTTCTCTGCCGTCAAACGCACCAACAGCTCCACAGAGGTGAAGGCGATGACAAAGGGGCTCCTGCTTGTCCTGGACCACCACGTCTTCCACCTCCACAATAAATCAGGTGTGCGTGTCTGTGTGTGTGTCTGTGTGTGTGTGTGTGCTGTGTGCTGTGTGTAGTTGTGTGTGTCCTTTGTGAGTGATTGTGCGTGTTGTGTGCGCGCGTGTGTCTTTTTTGAGTGATTGTGTGTGTGTGTGTCTTTTGTGAGTGATGGTGTGTGTGTGTGTGCGTGTGTTTTGTGAGTGATTGTGTGGATGTTTGTTTGTGTGTATGCATGAGCTTGACAGAGACGTTCCTTCATGATCACAACCACATGCCCATCGAAACCACCCTGACCACCTTCTCCCCGGTTCTCCAATCCTCCCTGCTCACCACCGCCAGCGCACCAGGACATCTACAAGGTGCTGAAGCACGAGTTCCTGCGGCAGACGATCATGGGTGATGGGCGCCGGTTTCCGGTGGTCATGGTTCCAGGGTTCATGAGCACGCAGCTCGAAGCGTGGAAGCGGAAGGACTGTAACGGCGTCGACATCGAGATTATGGACCAGGTGCGATGGGTGGTATGTGTCTATGTGTGTGTGTGTGATATGTGTCGCATGAATGTGTCATGTGCGTTGTGTGATTGGTGGTGTGTGTGTTGTGTGTATGTGTGTGGTGTGTATGTGTGTTGTGTGTGTGTGTGTGTCGCATGTATGTGTGTTGTGTGTATGTGTGTTTTGTGTGTATGTGTGTATGTGTGTATGTGTGTTTTGTGTGTGTGTGTCGCATGTATGTGTCATGTGCGTGTTATGTTTCCTTTGACTTTGTCACATCAACTGTTCAGGAAACTCGGATGTTGAATCCCCCCCCCATTCTTATCACGCCCTTTACACCACCATCCCCCTTCTCAAACAGGTGTGGTTGAGTCTGGAGCAGATGATGCAGACCATCACGGTCGATCGCTACTGCTGGCTCGAGTGTCTCGCCCTCGGCATCAACCAGGTGACACCTTTGTGGCGCGGGAGCTGTGGCTTGCGTGTGTGCATGGTCATGTGCACAGTTGTGTGTATTGTTTGTGTGTATGTTTGCACCTGTGTGTGTGTGTGTGCGTGCCCGTGCGTCAATTGGTCTTGCCATGTCGGCACACACGCACACACGCACACACACTCACACACACGCACACACACATATACACCTTCACGCCCTCCCACATGTCTGCGTACAGACGGACGACACGTGCAAGGTGCGGGCTGGCTCCGGCATTGCGGCGATCCGCGAACTCAACGCGAACATTCGCGGGATCACCACCATCTTCAGGTCCATCCTCACCTTCCTCGCGGAGAAATGGTGCGAGGAACACAATTTTCAAGTGCTTGCTTGCATGTGTGTCGTTGTGATTGTGTGTGTGTATTTGTGTGTACTTGTGTGTGTGTGTGTGTTTGTGTGTGTGTGTATTTGTGTGTACTTGTGTGTGTGTACTTGTGTGTGTGTGTTTGTGTGTGTGTGTATTTGTGTGTACTTGTGTGTGTATTTGTGTGTACTTGTGTGTGTGTGTGTGCGTGCATCTGTACATGCGCGTGCATGTGTGACTCTGTGTGTGTGTGTTCTGTGTCCCTGTGGCTCCGTGTGTGCGCATGTACCACACTAATACCACCACCACCACCACCACCACCACCACCACCACCACCACCACCACCACCACCACCACCACCACCACCACCACCACCACCACCATGATCACCACCAGGGGCTATGATTCGCAGTCGCTGATTGCGATGCCGTACGACTGGCGCCTGTCCCCGGATATGCTGCAGCGGCGCGACAAGTTCTTCTCCACGTTCAAGGCCAAAGTCGAGATGGCCGTCGCCGTCAATGAGGTGAGAGGTCGGAGGCGTTAAGGGCGTGTTGTGTGTATTAATATGTGTGTGTGTGTGACACGTGAGGGTGGGTGGGATGTGTATAAGTGTAACACGTGTGTGGGTGTGAAAGAGAGAGAGACAGACAGAGTGCGTGTGCGTGCGTGTGTGCGTGTGTGTGCGTGTGTGCGTGTGTGCGTGTGTGTGCATTGTTCAAGTTCGTGTCCCTTTGCATGCATCTTCATCATCGTTACACCCAACCGACCATCAACCCTCTCCCCCGCTTCCCTTCCTATCTCCTCGCTCAACCGCATACCGCCACTTGTTTTGCTTGCATAGGCGCCTGCTGTGCTGATTGCGCACTCGTTAGGCAATCAGGTCATTCTGGAGTTTTTCGCCTGGCTGGAGAAGGAGTTCCCGAAATCGTTCCTGAAATGGACAGAGAAACACATTATTGCGTACGCTCGATCTTGCGTTGCGTTGCCTTGCGTGGAGAGGTGAAGAGGGTCACGGGGGCGACCGTGATTGTGTTAGAGGTTGAAGATGACGGCGCGTAAGGTGCATTGCGACGAGACATCCACTGCATGCACATGTACATGCGCAAGAAGGTTATTACTCACTCACACCCTCCTTCTTCGTCGTGTGTGTACATGTGTGCACGCTTTGTCTGTGTGTGTGTGTGTGCGCGCGCGTGCGTGTGTGTGTGTGCGCGTATATGCGTGCGTGCGTGCGTGCGTGCGTGCGTGCGTGTACGTATGTTACGTGTGCCCTTGCGTGCACATTTGTGCACATTTTCACACATGCGTGCGTGTGTTCAGGTATTACGGGATTGCACCGGCGTTCCGCGGTGCGACGCAGGCGGTGGTGGCAGATCTCATTGGTGACAACATGGGTTTGCCCGTCACAAACTACCAGGTGCGGTGATCGTGGTATCTGTTGACGGTGTGTGTGTGATGTGGTGTGTGTGTGTGTGTGAGTGAGAGAGTGAGAGAGAGTGTGTGTACCTGTGTCTGTGAGTTGCGTGTATGGCGAGTGTGTTGTGTCTTGTCTCCCCATCTCCTGACACACACACACACACACACACACACACACACACACACACACACACACACACACACACACACACACACACCGCACATGCATGCAACACCCGCGGCGTCAGGCGCGTGTGTTTGGATCGACTGTGGGCTCGTCGCCGTGGATGTTTCCTGTCTCCGTCCGTACGCCAACGGCCGCAGAGTGGACGTGCAGTCACCCATAGTCAGTCCTGTCGCGGTGGCGTGGCTGTGGTGTGGTGTGGTGTGGTGTGTATGCTTGGGGTTGGAAGGAAGGGCAGGTTTTGCGACGGAAGGAGCATTCAGGATGCCCCTCTCACACACCCACTCATACACACCTTCACCCACTCATACACACCCTCACACACATTTGTACTCACGGTACTCACTCACACACATACACATACACACCCTCACACATACGCAATCACACGCACACATGCACACACATTTACACACACACACACACATACACATGTCCGCACACACATGCACACCGCTGCGTGCACGGGCCGCGTCAGCTGCGGGGAGGGGGCGACGACGCTGCGACTGCGCCGTCCGCACACGCTCGACGAGCTCAAGACGCGTCGGGCAGTGCTGAACGAGTACGAGACCATGTGCCAGGCGGCGCAGTGGCACACGCCGCTCGATCAGCCGGAGGTCGAGCAGGCAGACACGTCGGACATACGCGCGTTTCTCTCTGCAAACGGCACGGACGAGACGGGCGGGATTGAGGAAGGGGGGTGGCCGCGGTACCTCATCAACATCACGCTGGGCAATGGCACGGAGCTTGTGTTTGGCGTCAACGATCTGCGGACGGGGAAACTGTTCCAGGTGCAGCGGGACTGCAGTATGAAGTTGGGTGGAGGGGCGGAAGGATGAGGGAATGAGGGACAGCAAAGGTGTGTGGGAGGACGAGTATGGGCAGGTGTGTTTGGTGGGGTCTACATGTTGTTTGTTGTGCTGTGGCGTGTGTAAGTGGGCGTGTGCAGGCGTGTGCGGGTGTCAACGTCGTTTCATCGCGCCTCGTGTTCACAAGCCGCTCCCCCTTTGCATCCACCCTTCCCCTCCCCCCCCCACTCTCATGTCGCCCGCCCGCCTTCCTCAATCCTTCTTCGACGCTGTAGGACCTGGCGCGCTATGGAAACGATTCCCACGCGCAGCGCGTTGCAGACACCATTCGACATTTCTACACCAACAAGGAGGTGTGTGTGTGTGTGTTTGTGTGTGTTGGAGAGGGTACTTTGTTCTCGGGTTGCACTATTTTGTTGCTCTTCATGGGAGACGCGAGTCCCACATGCGAGCTCTTGAGCACACACACACACACACACACACACACACACACACACACACACACACACACACACACACACACACACAAAATAACACCACATTACACTCATGCACTCTTATTCGTGTGTGTGTGTGTGTATGTGGGCAGATATCGTCACCGTTGGACCGGCTGCCGACGCGCCCGCCAATCAAACACGTCGCCATTGTGTACGGTGTGAACAGGAACACCCCATATGCCATCCACGCCACGCAGACCAAAGGCACCGATGAACTCACACTCACCAACCAGGTGTTGGAGATGCAGAACGTAAGTGCAGACGTGGTTATACGCGCATGTGTTGCGTGTATGAGACAGAGAGAGGGTGTGTGTGTGTGTGTCGTGGGTGTGTCCATTGTGTTTCACTGCGAGCGCGTGGACTTACAAGCTTGGTGACATTTCCACAGCAGGCTTGAGCCTTCTTTCTCCATTGCCTCACACACACACACACACACGCACACACACACACGTACACGAGGATAGGGTGAGCTGAGCAGCGGCAACAACGCGAGCAATTCGCTGCGGTGTTCGGGCGATGGCACCGTCCCATATGCGTCGCTCAGCTGGGTACATGCGTGGCACCTCAGCCAAAGCGTCAGCATCGTCCGCAACCAGCAGACCGTGCAGCCATTCTTCGACCACGCATTCAGTGCGTTGGGTGTTGTTGTCGTTGTGGCTGCATGGAGAATGAGAGAGAGAGTGTGTGTGTGTGTGCAAGTGTGTGTGTGTGTGTGCAAGTGTGTGTGTGTGTGTGTGTGTGTGTGTGTGTGTGTGTGTGTGTGTGTGTGTGTGTGTGTGTGTGTGTGTGTGTGTGTGTGTGTGAGTGTGTGTGTGTTGGGGCCGTTCCCCGACAATTGCAGCCCTCTTTGCTTCGTGCATCTCACCACCATCGCCACCACCACCGATCTCACCACCACCACCGATCTCACCACCACCACCGATCTCATCACCACCACCACCACCACCGATCTCACCACCACCACCACCACCGATCTCACCACCACCACCACCACCGATCTCACCACCACCACGTCGCTGTACCAGGCGAGTACACGCCCGAGCAAGTGAGTCGCGTCATTGACACCGTCATCCCGGAACACACCGTTTTTGACAGCGACAAGGTGGGCTGCGTTGTGTCGTGCGTGCGGACGCTGTGGGTGGTGTGGTGTGGTGCAGTTGTTGGTGTCTGCAAGTCGGCCATTCCTCGCATGCGCACACCACACAACCACCCTCACTCACACACGCTTTCACCCCCCCCCCCTCACACACACATCGACATGTGCCTGCAGCACGGATACCGGACGACGGTTGTGGAGGTGGAAGGGCTGGAGCACCGCGATGCTGTGCGGACGACGTTCACAACAGAGCTCATCGACAACCTGATGCAAGATCTGGTGCAAGTGATTGTGCACGATGCGACGAGCGATGTGGAACTCTTGCAACGTGGCGTCAAGGATATAGAGCAGCCGCCAGCAACGACAACCAAGGCCGTCACAAAGCACCTGCGCAGCTTGCTGGCCGAACACAAGCACGATGAGACTGCCCTGCAACGAATCACAGACGTCATCGCCTTTCTCGAGGACAAGCACTGACGTGTCTGTCTCTGTGTGTGCGTGTGTGTGTGTGTGTGTGTGCGTGTGTGTGACAAACTGTGTGCGTATGTGTGACAAGCTGTGTGTGTGTTGTGTGTGTGTGTGTGTGTGTGTGTGTGTGTGTGTGTGTGTGTGTGTGTGTGTGTGTGTGTGTGTGTGTGTGTGTGTGTGTGTGTGTGTGTGTGTGTGCGCGCGCGCTCGCGCGCTGTTTCTCTGTTTCGTTCCACCGCCGCCGTGTTAGCTACATTTTATACTGTCGTAAACGATCGCCTCATTTGCCGCGAGAGAGCAGCACCACGTTGCTCGCTTTTTCACGCACACACACGGTGGGAATGGTTGTGCGTGCGTCAAGTGGTCGTAGTGGGGTGTGCGTGGCATGTTCGCTGTTGCGCGGGGCTGGCCGCGTGCTGCGCACTCGGTCCATACACCACCAGCCATCGGCTGCAGCAGCTGCAGCAGCGCGGGTGGCGTCCACAACGAGCCGCATGCAGGGCAGAAGCACGAAAAGCAGCGCTTTGATGTCGATACGCGTTGCAGTGCAGCCATCGCACTCTCGCCTGCAGCAGCTTCGGTGGTCTTCAGTGGTGGCAGCGTCATCGTCATCGTCATCGTCTCAAGGTGGCAAGCCAAGCAAAAAGAAGAGGCGTAGAAGGAAGAGCCAAAACACCCCAAAGCAAGACCAAAGCTGCACCTCGCAGACTCAGCAACAGCCACAGCAGCTGCCACAGCAGCGATCGGGGCCGCAGCAGGTACAGCCTCAGCAAACGACAGCGCCGTCAACGCGGCCAGCGCCCACATCAGCAGCACCAGCAGCACCCCGCAACGCTTCGGGCCCACAGCATGCGCGAAAAGGGTGGTACGATCGCTTGATGACTGCACTGCTAAAGCCCATCTTCACACAGACTGTGGTGTCTTGCCAGTCGTGTGGCAACCCCATCTCCTCCGCGCGCAACTGCTCCTTCCTCCGCGTCTACCCATATGGGACGCACAGCCAATCCCTCACGCTTCTGGCAGCACCCATCGGTGAGCCCCTTGCCTTGGTGTTCTTTGTGTGTTCTTTGTGTGCGTGTGCGTGCGTGTGCGTGCGTGTGCGTGCGTGTTCGTTCTGATGAATTCGCGTGTATTGTTGCTCATCTGATGTGCTCATGCCACGAATCCCTGCTCTGGTGGCTGTTATGCCCTGTTCACTGCCCGCTAACAGATGAAGTGTCGTCGTTGATACGCCGGGATCAGTCCCACACGTTTCCCCATCACGTAAGATGAAGGGAGGGGAAGGGAGTTGTTCATATACGTGCGTGTCTGTGTGTGTACGTGCGCATGTGTGCGTGTGTTCATATGCGTGCGTGTCTGTGTGTGCATGACCGTGTGTGTGCATGACTGTGTGTGTGTATGTGTGTGCGTGTGTGCGAGCATGTGTGATGTGTACGCTTGTGCCGTTGAAATGTGTGTTCTGTCGCAGCTGCGCTCACACTGGTCATCATTCCGCATGCGTGTAGTGCCGCTGTTCGCACTGCTTCAACTTTGTTGGACGCGTGGACACGATCCCAGCACTGGCAGCGGAGGACACAAAGGTGAGAGCCGCGCCCTCGTGTAGTCGCTGGCGTGTGCAAGGGGACTGATATGGGCAAATCAAACACGCATTTGCGCGCACAAAACTCAAATACGTGTAGACATACACGTGTGTGCTCTCACAAACACACTCGGACTTACTCAAACATACAATGTGCTGTTTCCCTTGCAGGCGTCGATAATGTTCCCTGGCATTCGGCTGCTGCTGCAGCCCTCGCGCGTGCGGCTGTCCATCACGTCCTGGGTGACGGGGCGAACACACGACCTGCGGTGCAGCCGATGGGATGCCCTCACGCCGTCCGAAGTCTTCATGACGGGTCTGCCCCTCGTAGAGGCACCGCCAGAGGACAGCACACGGTAATGTTGGGGGAAGGGGAGGGAGGGGTATGTTTTGGCTCTGTGTGTGTGTTTGTGCGTGCGTGTGTGTGCGTGCGTGCGTGCGTGTGTGTGTGTTGTGCGTGTGTGTGTTGTGTGTGTGTGTTGGCACTGCCACCTCATCAGCTCATCAGCTCATCAGCTCATCACCTCAACCCCACACCACGCCCCGCAACGCAACCTGCCGTGCTTGCCACCAACAGTGGGTTTGGGCCGGCGCAGGCGCACGGATTTTCGCTCGTGCGTACGCGTGGAGGGCTGTACCGGTGGCAGGTGAGCAAACAGGGCGGCGGCGACGATGGCAGCGGCACGATGCCTGCAGGCAATGCCTCGGCACAGCACGCTGCAAAGGCTGCTACATCAAACACCGATACACCAGCGACGACAGCGGATGCAAAGAGCAGTGGGCAGCAGGGCGAAGGCGATATTGAGGCTGAAGAGCTGCGAGAGCTCGTGCAGAAAAAGTATGGAGGAAAGGATAGCACGCCAGGCCTGTTTACCAAGGTGCACGATGTTTCACGCGGTGGTGGGGGAGGGAAGCAGCAGCTTGTGTCAGCCACAGCCACAGCCACCAAAGACAGTGAAGACGAGCTGGATGAGGAGGAGGATGAGGCGGAGGTGGAGGAGGACGAGGATGATAGTGAGTTGGAGAAGGACTTGCGAGCATTTGAACAACAACAACAACAACAGCACGGTGACATCTCGAAGCAAACGCCCACACGTCAACAACATCAACAGCAGCGTGGTGGCGGTGATGGATTTGCGACAGCTGCGACCAACGCCGCCCACCGGCAGCAGCGACGAGGACAACAGGAAGGGCGTGGTAACCCGCAAGGAGACAGCAGCCACAGCAACGCCAATGGCAGCCACAGGAACACCCATGGCAACAGCACCAACCGCACGAGCAGCGGAAGCAATGATCGTGACTCTCACACGCGGAATCTGCGGGCCGGCGACCGCGATTATCGGATGACCGGTGTTGGGTTTGCCGTGAAGAGAGCCGTGCAGCGACTCAAGATGACAGCCATTGAGGCCATCGTCAACATCGCATCGTGAGTGCTCGGTGCTTGTGTGTGTGTGTGTGTGTGTGTGTGTGTTTGTTTGTGTGTGTGTGTGTGTGTGTGTGTGTGTGTGTGTGTGTGTGTGTGTGTGTTTGTTTGGGCGTGCATTTGGGCGTTTGGCAGGTGGTACGTATTGCCGCTCTGATGGTCACTCTGCCACTGTTCATCACCATCACATCATACACCCTAATATCACACACCATCATATCACACACGACGACGACCACCATCGACGACCACCCGTTGCCAGGCGGTTCCCCGATGGCTCGCTGCCGCGCGCCCTGCTGTATCACGAGGCGTTTGTTCGCCCCCACTGGCATCCGCTCGGCGTCAAATACAGCGCCGACTTCTTTCGCCAGATCACTGCAACACCAGACGCGGTTCGGTGATTCGAGAGAGAGGGGGGGGGGGAGGGAGACATAATTGCTTTGCGGGCGTGTGTGTGTGTGTGTGTGTGTGTGTGTGTGTGTGTGTGTGTGTGTGTGTTGTCATTGCTGGGTGTGTACATGCATTTTTGTGGTTTTGTGTGTGTGTGTGTGTGTGAAATTTTCCTTTAAGGTTCCTCTTTCCCGCCTTTCACCATCACCGCCACCGCCACCACCAATACCATGACGCAGCCGTTGTCGGACCAGGTTGTGCCGCTCATCTTGGCTGCTGCGAATGCGCGCTGGCCGGTCACGCGTGAGGTGGACGCTCCATCCGTCATCATCGACGCCCTCAACTACATCTTCAAGGACAAGGCCAAGGCACCCTCAACGTATGGAGGGAAATGGAGGGGGTTGGGAGGTTGGGGGTGGGACATGGTTGGAGGACGTTGGGCGAGGAAACAGGAGGCAAGGGGTAGCGGAGAACGCTTGTGCGTGTGAAGATGGGTATGAATTGTTTGCCGTGTGTGTGTGTATGTGTGTATGCGTGCGAAAACACGCCGCAGTTGTTTCCTTCCAGTTCACCCCAAAACATTGCTGCCACCACCACCACCACCACAACCACCAGTGCGCGTGCGCGTGTGCAGCTTCAGCGCCACCTGCCGCAACTGCTTGACGCCATCCTGCACGGTGCACACGGCCGGCGCGGCATGGACGTGGCAGAGGCGTTTGCAAGGTCCGCAGCTGATGATGCATTGGAGGGGTGTGGAGGGTAGATTGGAGGCGGTGTTGGTGAGATGCTGCAGCTGCGTTCTGTCGCGTTGACAATGCACCCCTTTCACTCCTCGTTGTAACGTCTTCTTCTGCTACATGTGACCGTGCTCACGTTGTCGTATGTGCGTATGTGCGTGCGTGCGCCTGTGTTTAGCCACGGATTTGAGATTGACGAAGCGTCGTTGACGTGCATTGGACTCCTGGCAGCCGGCATGGTACGTGCTCTAAACACGCCAAGCACGCTTTACACCGCGATACCAGCTGCAGCGCTGCTGCTGCTGCTGCTGCTCTGTGTGCACAAGTTGCTCGTCCATGTTCACATGCACCCACATGCACCCACATGCACTCACACATACTCATTCGTACTCACACATACTCATTCGTACTCACACGTGCGCGTGCATAATGCTCATGCGTGTTTGCGCCTGTAGGAGGAGGAAGGCGTGAACCCTTTGCTTGAATTGACCGGCCTCAGTCTCTTCGACGTCTCGTGAGTGAACTCAATTGGCAATGGTGTGTGTGTGTGTGTTTGTGTGCTTTGCTGGGTGTGAGTGTACGTGTGCTGTGTGTGTGTGCTGTGTGTGTGCTGTGTATGTGTGCTGTGTGTGTGTGTGTGTGCTGTGTATGTGTGCTGTGTGTGTGTGTGTGCTCTGTGTGTGTGTGTGTGTGTGCGTGCGTGTGCTTGGACGTGTGTGTGTGCGTGTGCTTGTACGTGTGTGTGTGCGTGTGCTTGTACGTGTGTGTGTGTGTACGTGTGTGTACGTGTGTGTACGTGTGCTTGCACGGGTGTGCGTGGCGTCAGTCCCGTCGCCTGTTGACCCGAACCATCACTCACACGCCGTCTCCACGGCAATGCCTGCAGGCACTGCAACCTTCGTCCCCAGTACCCTGCGCTGCAGCGGGCGATTGCGTCCAGCAAGCACCTGACCCGCGACGTCGTGCAGGCCAAGGGTCTTCGATGGTCCCTCTCCCTCATGCTCGACAACGTAAGCAGCTGTAGCAGCAGCAACAGGAGGAGGGTGTGTGTGTGTGTGTGCGGACGTTCGTGTGTGTGTGTGTGCGTGTGTGTACATTCGCGTTCGCGTGGTCTGCTGTGGCGAATCGATAGAATGGACCTGTCTCATTAACAACACGAACAACAGTCTCTGTCGACTCATCCCATTCTCCACGTGCGTGTGCGGTTTTTTTTTTTTTTTTGTACAGAATGCGAGCGACCGCGCGCTGACGCTCATGCGAACCGTTGAGGCAACTGGACTGGACGTCCGATCCGGAAATGAGGTCCTCCTCGTGAAACTCTTGGCAACATCAAGCATGGCGACAGCACAAGATATCGTGCAGGTGTGGTGACGTGATGCGATTGCATCATGCAGCAATGAGTGTGCATGGGTGGAAGTAGAAGCTGTGTGTGTGAGTTTTTGTGTGTGTGTGCGGAAGCTGTGCGTGCATGCGTGTGTGTGTGTGTGTAAGCTCTGTGTGTGTGTGTGTGTGTAGTAGCTGTGTGTGTGTGTGTGTGTGTGTGTGTGTGTGTGTGTGGTGG